CGAGCTGTTGTTTGGGGATGGCTGGCTAGTCTGCATTTGTGGGTTTTCTTTTTTCTTTTTTTTTTTTTTAAAAACAATTTGGTAAGCATCAATCGATAGAAGCAGAGGGGAGGAGATGGAAGAATTTGCCCATTCATCTGTGGAACACGTGCTCTGATAAATGCTTAGCCTGGAAAAAAAGGAAGGGAGCTGGCGGGGGGTGCAGAGCCAGCCGGGGCGAGTGGTTCCAGCCGGACCCCAGTGCCACACTGTGCCCTGCAGCCGCTGTCGTAGGTAGCAAATCTTGGCACCGAGACGGCTTTTGTTTAACTGATGGGTGTTGCGTCTCAGCACCGTGGTTGGAAATAGTGCAGTTGCAGTTAGCCAGAGGAACAAATGACCAAAGGTAACATTTCCCAAATTCTGAGAGCTTGTACGCCATACAGGCTTCCCTTCTGCAGCTGGTGAGTGCTCCAGGTTGTCTCCTCGCTGTTTGTAATAGCAGTGGAAACATCGTGACGTTTGTCTCTCCTGTTGTCTCGAGGCATGCCTGATGGTAGCATAATCGGAGCTGGTTGGAGTCTCTGGAGGATGAACCTGCTTTCTTCGCAGCTGGAGGAATCTCTCCGCAACTGCCTGGATTAGATGCTTTTCCAGAAAAATCTGATCCCTCAGAACAGGCTGTTGATGCAGAGGAAGTTCTGCGTGTGCCAGTGGTGATGAGGCAAATAGATTTGTTCAAGCTCTGCTTGAACTGGTCGGTGTCACATCCGTAGTTTGTGGCAGCAGCTTTCCTGAACCACAAGTAAAGCCTCGAGCTGCTCAAATCCTGCGATGGGCCTAGTGCGTGAGGTCTCTCTGCCTGCGAGCTGGCCTGGCTGTTGTCAACCCCTAGAAGTATTTCTCGTTAGAGACTCTGCAGAACTTCAGGGCCTCCTTTCTGGTGATGTTTGTACAAAAAAATCTGCTTTCCTTTCTATGTGAATCAGTTATGTTGTGGCTCGGCAGGAGCTCTTCTGGACTGAAAAAGAGACTCGGGGAGGAGTTGGGGGTGTAAGATCTGACAGGTTAGTTAGGAGTTGGGGTGTTAGTTGGGGGAGCGTGTGCAGATAGCATCTGCACCTCCCCGTGTTCTTCTGGAACAGCTCTAGGCTGGAGACGTCATGCTTGGGTGTTCTCGTGGGCAGCAATTTAGGGTTTTCCTTACGCAGCTATCTCTTACCTTGTGCTTTGGGTTTGTTCTCTGGGCAAGAAATCTCTGGATTTGATATTATTCCAGGTGTTTTGTTCCAGCGTCTGCCCCTTCACTCATCATCAGGATGCAGCAGGGCCGGGCAGTGGGTGAGAAGTTCATGCTGGCATGAAGCAGAACAAATGTGACACAACCAAATAATCTTTTGCTTCCATTTCTCGGTGCCTGTGCGGACCCCTTTGCTGGAGGGCCATGCAGAGAGATGCCGTCGCTATATCTGATAGGGTGCAAGCTGAGTTTTCCCAGACCAGCACGGCACTGGGGCAGACTGGTGGATCCCTGTTAGGGCCTCAGACTGGAGCACTGGGGCTGTTGCTTTGGTGCTGCCCATGTGCATCTGGGACCACAAGCTCTGCCTGGTGCCACTCTGAAAGTGAGCTGGAAAGCGGGTGCCTGCCCTGGGGAGTGAGAACGAGTGGTCAGGCTGACATCTCATGATGAAGAGCGTGGATCTGGAAGTAGACCTTTTCCTGATGTTCAGGGTGTCGCTGAGGATGTGCTGAGTTGAATGTTAACGTGGGTGATATTAATGAATTCGCTGGAGCTTGACGCAGAGATTCCTGCAACATAATAGAGCATCATTATAAGCCCCTTCGCATAACGCTGTGTTGTTCTGCAATGCCCCAGAGGACGGGGGGGATGGACATCAACCCCTGTTTTAATTGATCAGGTTTTACTCTTAACTCTCCTCGAAGCAGTAAATCCGTCTCTGAGGGGTGTGTGTGTCTCGGTGAGTGGGTGGGTTATCTAACCAGATAAAGAAAACCTGGTCCCGTTCCCAGAGAATACCTGCATGTACGTGATCTGTTCTCTGCTCTGAGCGTCCTGAATAACCTGCCAGCCGATGACCCAGGCCGTGCTCCTGGAGGGCCGGCTGACAGCTGGCGTGGCAGCAGTTTCATGGTAAAGCCTCGTGGGGAGAGCAGGCTCGGTGATTTCTGCTTCAGGTTAAACTAGCGTGGGGGTGTGCTAGCTTTGTGTGGCGTGAGCAGCCTTCGCCCAAGTCCCTTCAAAGGTCTTCTTGTCCTTGCCAGCTGTTTCAGGAGGCTCTGAAGGCATTTTCCTTCTCTTTTCCCCATCTTGGACTCTAGAAGGCTCTTTTGTGAATAGACACTCTCCAAACAGCAGGTAGAGGGCAGGCCCACCTCTCGGACCCGCTCGTTAGCACCCATGCGAGTGACGAGGTGTGCTCCTGGCAGGTAGTTTGTGTGTCCGAGCAGGTGTGATGGCCACTCTCCACAGACCCGCCACGATCTCACGTCTGTGCTGGACCCCAGGAGTTGTGCCGAACAATAGAAGCAGCCATGAGAAAAACGCTCCTATGTGTTGTGGGTAGCTGGGGCCCTCGCTGGCCATGGCTTTTTCTCCAGCCTGCTAGAAATGTGGAGTAGCTGAAGTCATCTCATACAGCAAAACACTTCTGCCGAGAATGGCTATTGTGTGGCCCTGTAGCTGCTTGAGCCTGGTGTAATTTTCCTCGGCCCGGGTAGCTGTCTCATCTTGCGAGCCCTGTGGCATGGAGGTTTTAGGAGTGCAGCTTGGTTTGCAGGTCTGAATTTGAAGGTTACCCCGTGTGCGCTGTGTTGGGGTTGGGCTGTGCTGGGGGGTGATGTTTGTATCGTGGCTGAGGATGTGCTACGTAGGGGGTAGCGGGGAGGGCGAGGATGCTGAGATGGCAGCATCTGTGCCCAGGTGAGGGGGGTGAGACAGTCGATTCTTACCACCGCTGCACCCCCTCCTCAACTAACAAATCTTCTCATCAACTCTGGTACGCGTTGGTGTCTGGGTATGCTGCGCATCTCAGCCATGAGAGATGTTTTTTTTCTTGGGGACGTGTGTGAGAAGATGCTTTGGAGCAATGCGCTGATTTTTTCCCCTCTCTAATTCAGTGATAAATGAATTGGCTGAATTTGCACTCCATAAACTCATTTTCTACATGTCTTATTTCACAGTGTTGTGGCAGGGGGCCGTTTCCTCTGATGTATGCTAAAAAATTGAGTCAAAAAAAAAAAAAAAAGCCCTGACTGTCCTCATTCTTTCCTGAATTTTCTTCCTTCCTATAAGTCTATCTCCTGTGTGCCTAGGGAATGGTGTTTGGAAGAGGAGTTCCTGGTGGAAGTTAGGAAATGACTGGCCAAACTGAGTTGTTGAGGCTGGCAACCACGTTCTGCTTCTGCCTGTCATCTTTCTCACAGTGGCTTTTTGTTTTTGTTGTCAGTGGATATGCAGCCGATGAAATTACACACTGTATTCGACCACAGGACATCAAGGAGAGAAGAGCTGTCATCATCCTTCGAAAGTAAGTGTTGAAGCCCTCCAGACAGTAAGATAAACTTGGATGTGGTGTTCTGATGTTTCCTAAGGTGCTTTTAAAGAAACACTTTAAAACTGCCTTGCTTGTTAATTTGCTGGCATGGTTTTACATCTTGATTAGATGTCACTCTGTTGCTCACTTGTGTCTTGCCATACCCATCGCTTGGCCAGTGGAAGTAGATGGAACTTGTTACTGCAGAGTTAATCACTTCTTGGCACTGTGCAGCAGTACTTCATTGTAATGTCTGGGTTTGCAAGCGCTGTTCACATCCAAACACCTGGTTTTCATTGGCTGCCTAACTCCAAACAGCTAAGATTTCAAACTCTCTTGTTTTGGGCTATGTATTCAGGTGTCTGATCATATGATACCCACATGCGTGAGTTACCTGGATGGTCCTTTGAAGCTGATGCTTACGATGAAGAATCTCCTGTAAAGCAGATAAAGTTTTCTTGGTAGCATGGCTTTCATTTCCTGGGGAGAGGGAGGAAGACGCTGGCTTCGAAGGGAAACGGATGCAGTGAATTTAGTGATCACTTTACAGAGCTTGTCCTTTGAGTCGGTGGTGGGAAGCCGAGCTCTGTAAGTTTTATCGCACGCTTCCTGTTCTAGAAGATATGCTGTCCTGGTCAGCTGATGGCATTTCATCAGCCAGTGTCTGTTCCTAAGCTCTTCAGAAAAGAAAATGGGAAAATAAAAACCCTCCAAACCAACCGCATCCCAGACTCCTCAGCATAACCTTTTTTTGTGCCCAGAAATGTCCTCTCTCCTCAGTTCCTTCTACTAGGAGACCAGAAAATGTGACTGCCACATGTTGACCCATGTTGATTGTGCCTTAGAAGGTGTTAGCAGTAATTCCACTGTCAAGAAATCTTTTTGCAAGTGAAAACACACATGATTTGAGTACTGTAAACCCAGACGAAAGTGTGGGCATCAGGGCAGGGCTGCAGTTGTGGCCCTGGCTGGCATAAGGCTAGCAGGCAAGTGATCTAGATTCAGACTTGCTGAGCCTTTGGACAGCTTAGTTGGTTTCAAAACAAGTCTGGCAACGTTGTGAAGATATGGCACAAACCCAGCGGAGTGTAGTTGGACATCTGGTTAGAGAGACCCATGAAATTAAGGTAGGAAAAACAGCAGCCCTGAGGCGTTAGCCAGGCAAAATCAGCACAGACCCAAGGAGGCAGGATGAGATGTGGCAGGGGATAGAGTAGGATCAAAGAAAGAAAGATTAGAACCAAACCACCTGATGGTTGGTTATTACCACGTGAGGTTTAAGGCAAGAGGGTTGCAATAAAAGGCTGTTATGTTCATGTTATTGGTTACTGCAGCCAACGAAAAGCAGCGCGAGTGCTGATGAGCACCAGCAGAAGGCATCTCCAAATCCTGTAGCTGCTTTAGGTGGACTTTGGGATAGAGAAGCTGCCTGTCCTAGGCTGTGGAGCAGTTCCCTAGGAAAGACAGACTCGGCTAAATAAGCTAAAGCTGCCCAAACTGGTGCAAATATCTAACATACATGTTTAAACCGGCTCTGCCTCTTGCTTTCACCAGCCTCTGTAAGCTAAGGGCGTTGAGTTATTTAATCTAGCCTGACTGCACTCAAAGTGCAACTGGGCAAGCACCTATCTGGCTGAGATGTACCCAGCTGACCTGGTGCATCGCTGCTGAACAGGCAAGGCCCATTAGCTCCTAGCAGAGCCGTATTGGCTATGTTTGCTTAGCCATCCTTCTGTAGCAGTGTGTCCTTCTGTCTTCCCCTGATTTTAGGGGCCTGATTTGCTTAGCGTTAGAGCAGAAGTCTCTGCCCAGTCATACGCAGACAGCGATGAGCTGACTTAACTGGCAGGCTGAATGAAACCACAACAGGATTTTTCTCTTGAGCAAAGTGGAAACCCCCGGTAATTATTTTTGTGTAATCTCCGTAGAGCTTAGCAGCCCTGGTGAATACATGGCAATTGCCTGTTTGCCAAAGGGTGCACTCTGATTGCTGCCAAATAGAGCTTATTAATTGCTGCTTATCCCTTGTGACAGCAGCCGTCTCCTCGCTGAGTCCCGTGTGCACGCATGCATGCACAACAGGGCTGCAGTGACCTTTGTCTGCGCTCGCATCACCATGGCATGTATTGCTGCAGCAAATGCCATTCCCTAGTCCCGGATCATGCGGCTTTGTGCAGTCTGAAATAGTGTGTTATGCAACCAGGAAAACAGCTACTTCCGTTGGTAGCTTGCTAGCACGAGAGGCTTGGGAGCAGCCAGCGGCCTCGTAAAACTCCTCTTCCCTCGTCTTCATGGTAAGAATCAGCCCCGAGCTTTCCAGCAGGATCAGATCAGTTGTGTCATAGAGCGGCATTAACTTTGCTGCAGCTTGGAGCTGGGATATTCGGCTCTGAATAGGCTGCCAGAGCCTGCTGGGCCCCAGACGTTTGAGTCTGGATCTGCTCTTGCCTCTACTCTGAGCGCGTGGTTCTAGAGACGGTTTTTGCTGGCAGTGGCAGGAGAACAAAGCCGCGCGAACCGGAGGAGCGGCTGGGTTTTGCAGGATGCTTGAGAGCGGCGTGGTTACCAAGTAGGTCATAAACACTTCAGTGCTGTAGTGTGATGATATTTACAGTGTTTCCTGCGTATCGGAGTGCAGGACTGCGGGGAGCCAGCAAGGTTTGGAAGCGCTTTGAGCAAGAGGCTGGGGGGGAGGAACGATGCTCTCAATTTCATGAGATGCGGAAAGAGGTAATGTGGGAGGTGGGGATAGAAATGAGACCTAGTCAAGCGGGTCTTGAAAGTCATTTTAGAGGGCTTATGCTGCCATTTGTAAGCATTTCTTTGTAAGCAGTTACATCAGGGAGTTATTCTATTTAATTTGAACTTTGGTAAGTAATTTGCTCTTCATTTCAGTATAGCCTCTCCTCGTACCTGCTCCTACAGCTCATACCTGCATTGCTCTGTGGACAGAGAGAATGTGGCTGGTGTTCCCTTGCCCTTGCAGTATATTTGGTGGTTTGTTTGTTTTAATTGCAGGCCTGTAGTTGCTGTTGTATTTGAGAGGTATTTAAACCACCTAACTTGTTCAAGGCAGGATCCGCAATGCCTTTGCTGTTCTAGCTGGACTGGGTCCAGTCCTGGAGCCGAGAACAGCTCAGGACAACAGCGCTGGGGACTAGCGCAGGCTCCAGCCTGGCAGCTGCCTGCGGAAGCGTTCCTCGTTTCTGGCATGCTGGGCGGACTTGGGCTGCCCTGCCCAGCTTCGCGTGTGCCAGCCTGGCATCGCCCTGGTTAACTGAAGAGCTCTCCCTGATGGCAGAGAGGAAGCTTGGCAACTGGACGTGCTTCCTAACGGGAGTTTAGGTTGGGATTCTCCTGTGGAAACCTCTGTCAGGAGCTAAAGTTCAGCACTAGAGAGCAAGTAGTGATTCTCCCCTTTCTTTCACCCAGACCCCTTCCGTATTCACCCCTAATCCCAAGGAGGGAGACAGCCTGCAGAAACAATATCAGGGTGCCTTTCCTTCTGGGAAGTGGCTTGGATCCTCCTGAAATTGGCAGCTCTGGAGCACCAGTACCACCTTTTAGTGTGTCTTGCCCATTCTTAGACTTCAGTCTGTGTTCTGAAATAGACTTTAGCAGTGCTTCTAAGTTGAGACTGGTAACTGTGCTGTGCTTGGAGACGGTGGTAGTGCTGTGATAAGACGCTGTGCCGTCGAATTTTCATACTCGGTCTGCTGCCCCCCTCCACGTGTGCATGGCTACAGTCATCCTGGACCAGTGACAGTTCTGCTCTGGGACGAGCTGTGCTCACTCCCCAGTGTAGCTTGGGTGCGTTTCTATCCCAGCATGAACAAGGCAGTGCTGCGCTGCTGGGAGGGATGTGATGCAGCTTCTGTTTGCTAGACCTTCTCCTAACTCGTACTTCAACTCTTTAAACCTCTTAGTCAAGCTGAGAAACGCCTGACCCCCAGTGATCTTGAGACAGTAGGGAGTTTCCAGATAGAAGCAGTTATTACTGTTGTAAGTGATGATGGATTTTGCAGGGCATCTCCCAGGTGGCTTAACTGGAGCTGCGAGTTATTGACGAGTCACTGTGATTTCATAGGATTTCACAGGGGCTCTAACGCCTCTACTCTGTATCCTGTAACTGGGATTGCAGTGAGCCCTGCGCCATTGGCGTTTACCGCATGACTATATGTGTCCCGAAGCCTTCCTCTTCCCTCTAACCAAGGCAGCAAAGCTGCAAGTACCAGGAAGCTGCAGCTTGTTTTGCTGTTGAGCGTAACAGCCCTGACCCTCTTCCTGAGCTGTGTGGCTGGGATTGAGGGTTCTACTTCAGCGCATCTAGGACAGACGTCTGCTGCAGCATGCTAGTGGTTCTGTAGAAACTCCTTGCAAATTCTCTTCTCTTTAAACATTTGCAGAACAAGACTAGATGCACCTCGATTGGAAACAAAATCGCTGAGTAGCTCTGTGTTGCCACCAGGTTATAACTCTGACCGTCTATCGGGAAGCAACCGGGACCAGATCCTGAAACCAAAGCGGTCCCATCGCAAAGCAGATCCTGATGCTGCTCACAGGTAGGATGATCTCTCCTAAGAGCGATGTTTTGGATGGTACCTCTAGGTCAGTGCATGTCTGAGGTTCCTGGCCTCTGACAAGAGAGGCTGCACAGCACGCTTAAAAACATCCTAGTTTGCATCTGCTGGGTGCTTTCTGTGGTATACAGGTCTGTTTTATCAGGATGAGGTTCTTTATACGTTCCTCCTAGGCTTGCAGAGGCTAAGCTCTGGCTGTAAGCAGCTTACATTGTTTATCCTGTGAGTGGCATAATGAAGAAGCAATAGATTTGGCTGGCTCTTGATAATGCAGTCATTCAGAACAATAGTTTCCCTGCAGCTAATTATTTTTGACCTCTATTGCCAAGCAACCTGTGCAGCTGCGTTAAACTATATTATGAAAGCAGTCTTGGGAGAGAACATGAGGTTTTGCTATCTGGGAAAGGTGAAGGCCTTCTTGGGAAGCTTCTTAGACCTGTTTTGGTTCCAGAGCTGCATGTGTATATTTTTGTGTGTGTAACCAGACTGTGCGAATGCGTAAGCCTGACCTTCAGGGAAGCTCCTTGCTGAGGTTTCAGACAGCTTGAGCTCTGCAGCAAGGCTTCCCTCAAACACCACCTTGCTCTGTGTGAACGTACTGATAGCCGTGAGTGATATCCAGTCTGCCAGCTGTCGCGCAGTATTTCTGCTATTCTCCAATTCCAAAGCTTCCTGAGGATTGAGACGGCATTCTCTGCACATCGTGTAAAAAAACCAAAAGTTGGCTTGGTCCCAGGGCTTGGCTGCTGTGCGGTCCCTGACCGTGTTTCAACCTGTCCTGGAGGGAGGAGGGTGGGGATGGCTTGTTTATGAGCAGTGTTCATTCACCTGGACTCAGACTGACTGGGAAGATAGATCAAGAAGAGAGGCTAGCCTGTAAGTGAAAGCTTACGTCTGAGCACGCAGTGGGCCAAACAAAAGTTGGCTTGGTCCCGGGGCTTGGCTGCTGTGCGGTCCCTGACCGTGTTTCAACCTGTCCTGGAGGGAGGAGGGTGGGGATGGCTTGTTTATGAGCAGTGTTCATTCACCTGGACTCAGACTGACTGGGAAGATAGATCAAGAAGAGAGGCTAGCCTGTAAGTGAAAGCTTACGTCTGAGCACGCAGTGGGCCAGTATATGATTAGAGAAGCGATCATGCAGGACAAATCTGCAGATCCGTGAGAGCTGTTTTTCAGCCTGATGTGACCTTATCGGGGTGGGGGGGCTTGCATAGACTCCTGCAGCAGATGGGTGTCAAAAACATGTTTTTCTCTTCCTTTGGCCTCAAAGAGTCCAGTATAACATAGCTAAATAGCATGGATATCAGATAGTGATATCTCTTAGAGGAACTTGGCAGTTGCCACCTAGGATGAAATAAGTGGTCTGTGCAGCCCACCAGCCCAGTCCTACTATGAAGTGATCACAGGTGAGAGCAGAGGCGGCTTTGCAGAAATAACAATTGCACTGTGCTAATGTTTGAGAGAACTAGCGAGAGGACAAAGGAGTTCAGAGCTGTGGTTTGATCCTGCACCACAAGCGCCCCAGCAGCTTAAAAAGGAGCTCAGCTCTGCGCTGTGAGTTCTGCTGTAGGAGAGACAGATCCCTCTGCCCAAGGGATGTTTCTCGGAGCCACAAGCTGTATTTAAGAAGAGGTGACTGGGCTGTTTGGAAGGTTCCTGGTGGAGGTGAAGACCAAAGCTTGCCCTGGGAAGGACTTGCACTATCAAAAGTAAAGTTCGCAGCCTCTCCATGGGAGGTGCAACTTGGTGATCTGTTCCAGCTTTGCTGAGTGCCGAGTGCCGGGCAAGCAGTGTGGAAAACAGTCAGACATATCGCTCAAAGTATGCAAAACTGCAGATACTGTTTCACAAGGGAATGCCTAAATCCTGTTGTGGATGTGCTCTCACTCCCTCTTGCCCTCTCTCCATAGGCCACGGATTCTAGAAATGGATAAAGAGGAGAACAGGCGCTCAGTCCTCTTACCAAAACATAGGAGACGGAGCAACTTCAGCTCCGAGAACTATTGGCGAAGGTCTTACGAGTACACGGAGGACTGTGATGAGGAAGAGGAGGACGGCAGCCCAGCCAGGAAAGTTAAAATGAGGCGACACTGAGGATTGCACTTTCCAGGCTCGCAGAGCTGATGAGATTGGCCTCCAGTCTGTGAAAACTTTCTCCTCCCTCTGGCTATCTTCCATCTAGCTTCAGTTTTGGTTTTTCCTTTCAGGCTGAAGAGTAAACAGGAAGGATCTAGCGATTTGTTTTTATGAATGGAGGAATGCTGAGACATATGTAAGGATGGAACATGTCCAGTGCACATGGTGTCCTGAGTCATGGGTCAAACAGGCATCTCTCCCTTAGGAAGCAGATAAAGTTATGCCAGGCTGTCTGTTGGGATTTCTTTTGAAAACACCAAAAAGTTTAACTGTTTCATTGCGCAAGATTCAAGAATTGTATTTTTGTTTTTTGCTTTAACTTTCTTCCTTTCCAAATGTTCTAAATATGATGTTTGACCCCACAAGCTGAAACTCTCTGTGGTGGCCTCGTATTCCTTGCTTCACCAAAGGGCTCCTTGGTCTGCTCTTACCTAGTTGTTGTTGGGTTTGTTTTAAGGGTGCCCTGCAGTAACTGGAAGTTTGAAGCTTTGCAGACCCCTCTTACTGCAATTGATTTCAAAGGGTTTAGGACATTTTTGTTGCACTTTAGTACCAGTTTTAAATGCCGTAGGTTTCCTTTCCAGTCCCTTTCCAGTGTGGGCTGTGCTGCCCTCTGCAAGAAGAATGTACGTGAGCTCTGGTTTCTCAGTGCCGGTCTGACCGGGATATATTTTGGTTGAGGAGGAAGGAAATGTGACTGGCTTCACTGAGGCTGGCCCAGCATTGACCCGAGGTCCATACTGGAGCCCTGGGGCTGCCGAGAGAGTGGCCGCATTGAGTACATGCTGCTTCCCAGAGCTGGAGATAGCAAAGAGAGTAGGAGAGACGCCGTGCTTGCGAGGACGCTTGCCTTGGGACCCCCTGAAAAGAGCTGTTCTCCACTGCCTGGGGGACTGGCTTTCGGCCCCTTGCCCCTTTTAGGTGGAGAGAGTTGAGATGGCACAGCATCCCATCCCGAGGGACCGGCTGCGCTCTGTCAGAGCAGGAACAGGCGCTGCTGCGGCCTCGGGGAAGCCGGGCAGCTCGGCTGCAGTCCGTCCCCTCCGAGGCTGGCTCTGGGAGTGAGGACGCTGCAAGGGTCTAGTTTGGCCCCAGTTCAGTACATTCAGCAGCTAGTGCTGCAGCAGTTGCCCGCCTCCTCCTGGCTTATTCCTGCCTGTATTCCTGGATAGAGAGTTTTCTCGTTGCTACAGAAAATGCTGAGAAGAATTGGGCATTTGGCCCTGCGGAGTTAGTGTTCGAAAGTCTGCCGCCTTCCTCCTCTTCTCCCACCCGGTTTGCGTTAGCCCAGACCGAAGCCTCGGTGTTTTCAAAGTTTGGGGCCCAACACCATATTTAGAACTGTACTTTTAAGAAACTTCCTCCAATTGATTCTTTGAACCCAAGTGTTGGCAGTTGTAAGGAGTAGTCTTATTTTTAAATTTTTACTGCTTTGCCCTCCCTCAAATTGTAGTTTTTCTTAGTGTCGTGTCCCCCACACACTTCATGGTCTGCACGCTTGGCAATAAAAAGATGTAATATATTTTGAAACCCGTTTGCTGCTGTCTTGAGGGGCTCCCAGTCAAAAAAAAAAAAACCCAAACCCCAGGCGTTGTTCCCTGGAGCGCTGTTGCTTGGCGATCGAGCACGTTTGCTGACATCTGGGTCTCGGTGTCCTTTTCCTTCCCTGCTGCAGCTCCTGCCACTCGCCCATTGTTGGGGTTACTGCTCAGGCTGGATCTAGTGGTCAAGTTAGTGCAAAGGAAATTACCATCACCTTCAGCACTGCTGATCTGCGAGGGGCTCACAGGTGAGGTCCCCAGTGCCTGTGTCTGATTCTCTTTATCCAATTGCTTTCCTGGCAAGAGCCCCCGTTGGCTCAGTGCGGAGGTACAGGCACAGCCTCGCGGCCAGCCTTCGAAGGAGCCTGTCTTGTCTGCCCAGAGATCTGAAAGTTCATGCTTCTGCTGTTTCTGAAACCTTTAAAAAGCCTTTTTCAGACCACACTTAGCGTTTGAAGTGGTGTTCCTTGCCCTCACAGCTTTCTGCAGAGAATCTGGGCCAGCTCTTGGCTACGAACCCCCTGTTTTGGAAAGCTTGGCATTCCCCTGATAGCAAAACCGCATGCTGGGAGCATGGCTGGTGTAAACATTGCCGGCAAGCTAGAGACCTGCTAGCAGGATGCCTAGCAATGGCTGCTTCTAATCGTCTTTCTGGATTCATCCTGGTCGTGCCCTGTGCCCTCCTCGGTGTCAGGCTCTGCTGCAGGTGCTGCTGAGGTCTCGGCTCTGCACAGCCTGCTCTCCCCCCCACCAGCTCCCAATTTTACGCCTACCTCTGCAATACGGACCTGTACCCTGGTGTCTCAACTCAAAAATGAAGCTGGAGGCAACCTCCTTTTGCGGGGCTGCTTCCCAGAGCAGGATGAGGCGTTGGCTCTGTCTCCACTGAAGGCTGAACAAGGCATCCTGAGGTCTTATCTCTAGCCCGGTACCAACCATCACCTCATCCCGGTCCTTGTGCAGTCTGTATGCGTGCAAGTATCCTTCCTCTCCCAGTTTGTTTTGGTATTCCTGCATGCCATGGTTGGGAGCTCTCCCCTCCTTCCTTCCCCCTTGCCCTGCATCTGTTCGGTGGGTCTGAGCTGGCAGCCGTGGCTGGAGGGACAGGAGGGGGTCCCCGCCGGGGCCGCTCTTCTCGTTATCTGCTCTTCATCCGCCGGTCTGTTCTTGTGTGCGCTTGGTTTTCAACCTGACTGGTTGGGGCTTGACACCTTGGAGAGAGAGAGAGTGGGACACAACCTGTCTGACCCGTAGCACCTCTTGGGTGAGGAGTCCCCAGCGTGTAGGCAGGCCATCTCCCCCACTTGTACAGACATTTTCTATACACATGGATGTATATGTGTAGATAACATGGTTTTTTAACTCTTTTGCACTGAACAACATCGGAGTGAAACCTTGATTTGAAACCAGAAGACACATTTTTCACGTGGATCCCTTACCGTAACCTGTCTGGTAAAACTGTGGCTCAAAAATACTGGTGATGCCCATACCTGTTCTCTGTTACAGGCTGTGTCGGGCTGCCTGCAGGCTTTGGGTCAGGCTGGTGGCATGGGTCTGGTGCGGAGTATGGAGGGCGTGACCTCCACTTTGGAGGCAAAACTTCTCCCCACCTGCTCCGTGGGATGGGCTCATGCACAGACCTGATCCCGTTGGCTTTGTCGTGTCTGTCTGGTCCGGTCGTGCGGTCTGACCTCCTCTCCATCCACCCGCAGCGTGTCATTCGTGTAACCTGCTCAGCCCGAAACTGGGAATAAGGCTACATCCAGTGTGACAACCCCACGCACCCCAACCCACAGCCCAGACCATGAGAACTGTCTTTCCTAAGGAAGGGGAAGGAAAGCGGGCTTTGTCTCCACTTCAGTGGGGTTTGTCCCTGCTTTTCTGCAAAGAGCAGGGGGAATTGGGGTTTGTTACTGTTACCCGTATCTCAAGAAGACTCATCCAACTAAAGCTCTTGCATCGGTTGCCTGGGCTCGACATGTCCGTAGGAAGAGAAGGAAAGGCTGTTTGCCGGCGGCAAGAGGTGAGCTGGCCTAGGGAGGGGCTGTCGGTCTGCCGGCAGATCCCTGCCCGGCTGGGCTCGGCAGGCAGGCTGCCTGCAGCAGGGGCACC